CCTCCTCCGAATCCCATCCGCCGGCCAATGCCGACTGTCTACCACCCGGAGGAGGGCCTTCTCTGTGGCTGCTCCAGCCCTCTTGTACAAGCTACCCGTGGAGATTGGGACCCTCACCACCCTTCAGGCTTTCCGCAAAGCCCTTAAAACCTGGCTTTTCCGACAGGCCTGGGGCTGACGAGTTCCTGCCCCCGCTCGAATTGTGTGGCTGTTGATTGTTTTTTTTAAAATTCTTTTTGTAGTTGTTTGTCATTGTTTTTCCCTTGTCTGTATCCCCTACCTTTGGATTGTGAGCCGCCCTGAGTCCCTCCGGGAATAGGGCAGCATATAAGTGCAATAAATTCAATTCAATTCAATTCAAGCAGTCATACATTCTCCATGATGACTGTAGTTGAATGTCCATAGTTTGAGTTGTCAAAAGCCATTGGTGGATTAAAACAGGATGATCTGGATATGATGGGGAAATGGGCTTGGGTATGTCACTAGAAGCGATTTTCTACCTCAGTTCTTGCCAAATGGTTGTAATTCTACAGTACCTGCTCAAAGCTGTGATCTTCCAGATATGCTGGGAATGACTGCTTGTTGGGGATTCCCTGAGTTATTCCTCTGTATCTGGTATATGTTAACGTGGAGAAAGCCAACCTAAGGATTATTATTATATAAGTGAACCAATTGAGAAATTATCCTAAAACGTTCAACGAAGAGAGGATGGTTCAAGAGAGCTGTGTATGGATTCACCTTTTGTCAAGGGATTCTGAGTTGAAAACAAACAAGGGCACAAGCCATGCTTTACAGATAATTGTCGGCTCACAACCACTCACTTATGACAACCTCCCCAAAAGGTACTTACAAACCTGGATTTGAGATTCAAATGGCCACTCTGCATGATTGCATTTGTGGTCATTTGCAGCAACCCGGCTGTAATTTACAGCTTTCAGGCTGGAAACACGTCTCTCTGGCACAAATGCCCATTGCGGACAATGGATTTGTTTAATGACCGCAACCACATAGTTCACTTTACTTAACCACTTGCTTAACCAGAGCAAAAAAAGTAATAAAACCGGGCACAGTCACGTGATGAGCCCCTTAATGACTTACAGTCATAATTCTGGGTTCATTACAGTGATAAGCCGAGGACTAGCTGGGGAGATAATACATTATTGCTGATATTTTTCATCAACTGTACCCAAAACAAATGTACTGTCCATTGTTTTGTCCAATAAATCCTCTATTGTACATTCACAAACTGGAAAGAAGTCTCTGAAAGGTGGGAATCTATCACAGTAAACTTAGTTGCTTGGTTTTGATTCCTGTTTTAACTTTCTTGCCATTCTGATTTTTGTTTTACATGTAACTTTGCAGAGGCTGAAAAATGTCACAGCAGCTGGTAAAAGAAGCCTTTCTAAGTAATCTAAATGGAACGACATTACTTGAAATTTCTGTTGGCTTACCTCTTGCACCATTATGTATTCTCACTAGAGGACTGCTCCTAATTTTGTACTTTCTCCACAATGGAAGATCTTTATGCTCAATGTATGGTAATTTTTTTCTAGACTTCACTGTTTTAATCGTCCCGCCAGTACTTTCCTATACAATTTTAGCTTCCATATTCCCTTTTGTGATCCTCTCCATTATGGCATTCTGCACAGGCTTGATTTTTCTCATTTATACTAAGCGGACAAATTATGCCCAAGTGTCTCTTAAGCAAATCTTAGATGATTTTCTGAGAACCAACTTGGACCCAGAATACATTCCTGCCATAACTTCGCTTCGAGTGTTCATCAATTTATGGACATCCATTAATATCCTGGCTGTAGACTTCCCACAGTATCCCCGGAGGTATGCCAAAACGGAGTCTTATGGGACAGGAGTGATGGATTTGGGAGTTGGAATATTTGTTTTTGGAAATGGTGTGGTTTGTCCAGAAGTTCGGCTGAAGCCTGGTACAATGCAACACAAATTCTTTTATCTCATAAGGCAGTTGTTGACCGTATGGCCCCTCCTTCTCCTTGGCTTTGGACGACTAATGAGTGTTAAAGCAGCTGACTATTATGAGCATGTCACCGAATATGGTGTGCACTGGAACTTTTTCTTCACTTTAGCTGCTATACGAATGGGTGCATCACTCCTTCTGACTGTATTCCCCGTACACAAAGCCTGGATAGCCTCAGTAATGTTAGCTGTGGTTTATGAATGCTTTCTCGAGATTACACCTCTGAAGATGTTTATTTTGCATGGAAGCAATGGGCAAGATTCAAGGACTGGTTTTCTAAATGCCAACAGAGAGGGCATATTTTCTGTCATCGGTTACCTTGCTATCTACATGGCTAGTGTACAAGTAGGTTTATATTTATTAGGAAAAAGAACAGCAAGAGGGTGGCTTAAAATAATCTGCTACTTTTTACTGGGCATTTTTCTCCTTTTTACATGTCTCTACTTTGCTCAGGTATACATTGACACTGTGTCCCGACGATTGGCAAACCTTTCTTTTTGCATATGGATTATTGCTAGTTGCTTGGTCCCCTTTAGTTGCTTTTTAGTGGTTGATCTTATTCTCGTATTCACAAAGCTGATTGTGGGTGGGGCTGATATTCCTAGTAGTTGGAACATTTTGCACTCATCACCATATAAAAAATCTGATTTGGAATTTCGGCACAGAAAAAACGAATCTCAGAGTATGTGCATGATCAATGCTGTGAACAAAAACCAGCTTCTGCACTTTTTGCTAGCCAATGTTTTAACTGGTCTTGTAAATATGCACGTTGATACAGTGCACAGCAGCACACTCTCTGCCATGTTAATTCTACATTTGTATATGTTTACAAACTGTTTAGTTATGTATATGTTACAAGCAAAAAATATAATTTTAAAATGGTGGTAATTTACAAAACTGCAGGACATACAGTATCTAGGCAGACCCCAAGCATGAACATTGACTTGAAGGGACAAAAATATTGCCAATAAAAATGATACAAGCTGCAATGCCTTTATAAAATATAAAGCCTTGGGTCTTTTTGGATATACACGCATAAGGTGGTATATTGTTTTTAACTGGGATATTTAATACCCCATTTCTGACTATTGGGAAATGGAATTATTTTAAGCAAGAGAAGACTTCTTGTCAATAATGTGACACACTTTTATGACAATATGAAATATAAAAACCATTATCACTGGAGTGGGTTGGGAGAGTTTTTTTATAGGCGGTTAAAGGATAAAATTGATAAAGACAAAGGCACCTGCTTTGATTCTTATTTTAGAAAAAAATATATTTCAATGGTGCAATCAGAACTAGCTTGAAGGTTTCTTACACCTGCTTTACTGTTTCTACTCAGCCCAACTGACATATAAATTTAGGCTGGTTTTGAAGCCTCAATTGAGAATATGGAAGATGAATCAAAGTATAAAAATTAAAGACAGCCGTTCTACTTAGGTTTCTGGAAATGGATCAGCTGCTACCTACATTAGCTTAGTTGTAATTTACTACTGATTGTGGAGAAAAACATCAACTAATATTGTAACAAATAATGTAGAAAATAAAGATCTCATTTCTGAGGTCATAATCTCAGCAATGGGTTCTTTGCAGTGGACCCATGCACAACAAAAGTCATTATACAATAATGTGCCATTTTTAAGGCCATGCAATAAAGCCATTTGTTGCATTTGTTCTGAGACACAATTTATTTAAAAGCACCAGTATTTATGTAACTGAAACTTGCCAATCACAATGAGAAAATGTGGACTATACAGGTAATTCTCGACTTACAACCATTTGTGACTGTGGTATCTAATTGTCACTAGAAAGAAAGGGACATGAAGAACCAGGTCACTCCATAAGGTCAGTCCCTTTCATACATGTATGCAGTGTTACAATGTACATACAAAGGAACCCTGGCAACTGCTTTCACTATTGTTTGCAATTCTCCCCATCGCTCCCACAAATACCAATACTTGTGAGACAGATGAAATAATTTTCAAATAATTTTGGGCTGCAGCCCTTGGCTATTTTTCTTTTCTAAATAAAATTATGCTTTACATCAGAGGTGTCAAAACTCAAGGCCCGGGGGCCAGATCTGGCCTGTGGGGTGCTTAGATCTGGCCCGTGAGGCCACCCTGCGCGGTGCCTCTGCCAGCAAAAGCTAAGCTCGGGAGGGCCATGAGCGGCCCTCCCAGGCCTCATTTTCAGCTGCAATGGCTTCCTGCAGCCCTCTACCAGCGAAAATGGAGCTCCATGTTTTCTGGCAGAGCACTCAGGCCACCACAGGTGTCCCTGACACAAGTGACATCTATCTGGCCACGCCTATCCCAGCCCCTGAAGCCAAACAATCGTGATGCAGCCCTCAATGAAATTGAGTTTTACAACCCTGCTTTACATTGTTATATGCCACTTTCAATTTATTTGTAATGCTAAAATGCTAGATGAAGCAAGGTAGATGTCACTTGTGTCAGGGACACCTAGCGAGGTAGATGTCACTGGAGTGACAAATGAAATGGCAAAATACTGGGCAGGCTAGAAGCTAGATACTAACTAGCAGTCCAGGTACAAGCCAAGCTTTGTTAGCAGAACTTCAGCCCTGAAATTGCTTAATGCCAGATTGATCCATATGATGAACGCAACAATATTAAACAGGTAGTCCTCGACTTACAACTGTTTGTTTAGTAACCATTCAAAAGCACTAAAAGAAGTGGCTTCTATCTTTGTTCACACTTAAGGATTGTTGTAGTATCCCCATGGTCATGTGATCAAAATTCAGACACTTGGCAACTGACTCATGACAAGTTGCAGTACCCCTGGGTCATGTAGTCACTTTTTGTAACCTTCTGACAAGCAGTCAATGTGGAAACCAGATTCACTTAACAACTGTATTACTAACTTAACAACTGTAGTTATTAACAACTGTGGCAAGAAAAAATGTAAAATGAAGCAAAACTCACCTAACCCACTTTCTTAACAGAACTTTTGGGCTGAATTATGCTCTTAAGTTGAAAATTACCTATAACCATGGATGGAGACCATTAGATTACCTTTCTTTCCAAATGGACACAAATGATTACTCGCTTCAGTTTTACCTGAGTGCTGGTACCCAATTCACTGCTAGTATGAGCTTGAATTGTAGAAGCGTTTCATCTTTGATTTCACATTCAGGTTTATCTTGTGCTGGACACCTGTATGGAATAGATATTTTTCTGCTCTATTGCTGTGCCATTTCTCAGTCCAGGTTGCAAGAAAAGATCCCATATTTGGCATTGTGCATCTCCAAGCTTCTTTTAAATATTGATAAGATGTATTTTGAGGGCAAAGCAGGTATACGTTGCACCTCCTTTAAAATTTAAGATATATTTGGTGGGGGGGGAAGCAAGTTATATATTATCCCCCTGTTCATTGATAAGGTATACTTTTGGGGGGAAAGCAGGCATACATTATAGTTTTTAAACATTGATAAAATATATTGGAAAACAGGTATACGTACCTCTTAAATAGTAAGGCAAAATTTGGGAGGAAAGTAGGTATACATATCTTAACTACATGAGAAAGAACAAGGTATATTATACCTTGTTTTAAAAATTGATGTGATTTGGGGAGAACATACATTAAGCCTTTAAAATATGGATATACATTATATCTGCTTTCAAATATTGTTAAGGTACAAGTTGCCCTCGACTTATAACAGTTCATTTAGTAACTAATAGATGAGAACCCACCATTGCCTGGGTATTTATTTATAGGGGGAAAATATCTTGACCAAACATAATTTCTAATGTTGGACTTTCCCCCTTACCAAAGGGATCCCCCTTGTGGAGTACTGTGAAGCCATTACCATGGCAACTCCACTGCACTGCACAGTAGAAGCCATTTTAAGGCACGACAGGCTGTATCTTAACAGAACACACACCATGACGGGTTTTAGGGGTGTCTTACCCCCAGTCGGTTATAGATAGATGGATGGATGATTCAAAATTACAGCACTGAAAAGTGCTGAACAGCACTGAAAAGTGACAGACCATTTTTCACACAACAGTTGCAGCATTCCCGGATTCATTCATGACTGTTACACCGTCCTGGCATTACGTGATCACATTTTTGTACAAGTAAAGTCAATGGGGAAGCCAGATTCATGTAACCATTTTACTAACTTAATAACTACAGTGATTCACTTAACAACTGTAGTAAGAAAGGTCATAACATGGGACAAAGTTCACTTAAATATTTTCCTTAGCAATAGAAATTTCGGGCTCAATTGTGGTAGTAAGTTTTTAAGATGTTGGACAGCGGTTTCTCTGAAGTGGTGTAGGGTTTCCTGCCTAAGCAGGGGGTTGGACTAGAAGATCTCCAAGGTCCCTTCCAATTATTCTATTCTAATCCTATTCTATTCTTATTCTAAGTTGAGGACTACCTATATATTTTGGAGGGCACAGCTGCCTCATAATTTTTTTGTATAAGAGACCAAAATGGTTTGAGAGGCCAACGAAGTGTTAAGGACCAGCTCCTATTAATACAATAGCAGAGATGGAAGGTACCTTGGAGGTCTTCTAGTCCAACCCCCTGCCTAGGCAGGAAATCCTACACCATTTCAGACAAATGGCTATCCAACATCTTCTTAAAGACTTGCA